GTTTGTTCTTCAGAGCATAACTCACGAGCAGCAAGCAGAGATCCAACATCTTCTGGACAAAACAATTCAAGGTGATTTATTTATTTTATCATCCCCATATCTAACACGAAAATTCTATTGGCAGGTAGAGTTTCAATTATGTTTATAAAAGGTGCCTTAACACGTAATAGGGGAACTAGAATTATAGTGTTTGCTTCTAAGCACGATTAGTAGTTTGTAGAAATGATTGATTAAAGAGGCAACTTTAAATTTTATCCCATTACATCTGTATCCCACCAGACTTCAAATCTCAACCTAAATCAAGAAGTTGACAAAAGGGGAACAAATCCATATAGAATAAACCATTTTTTGATATGTATGTATCCTTTTACTGGGACACATAGTGATAAGTACACTATTCTCACATCTGATATTTGGTGATGGTGAATTAGCGTGGAGCTCCAGTATGGTATTAGCATAAGCTTGCGCTTTAAATGAGGTTCTTGCATTTTTACATATGTTGTTGCTCTGGAACTAGGCTAACGTTTTTCTCGTTCTTTGGTCTCTGGTTTTCCTAATTATATTGAAGTACCATTTCATAGGCAAAGTATCAGATTGTTGTTTCGTTTGTCTTATTCTTTTGTGTGGGGGTTTCAGTATTGGCAAAAAAGACATACATGGAAGGTATGTATAAGCAAACTTCTGATGACCAGTACTGGCAACTTTGGAACCGCCGAAGGTTGAATCCTGAGCTCGAGGCCAAACGGCAGCATATTATGAAACTAAACAAGGTTGTTAATGGGTTGATATATCTCACTCATATATCTGTTACTGCTTTAAGCTCACTTTTCTCATTTATTCCCGGTACTTTTCCCATTCAGGATCTGACTCATCAACTGATTGAACTAGAGAGATACTTTAATCGTCTCGAACTTGATCGCTACCAAGAGGATGGAGGATTTCCTGCGGCCCGAAGAGGTGTGCCCAATAGGTCTGCTCCTTCAAGGTATATTTTGTGGATTGGTTGTGAAATTTTAAGTACACGAATGTGTTTATGTTGATCATGAACTCCCCTTTTCCGCTACTGAAATTGGGTTGATTCTCTGTGCAGACGTGTGCAATCCCTTCATAGCCTTCATAACACAATGAGTTCCCAACTGGCAGCTGCTGAGCAACTCTCTGAGTGTCTCTCAAAACAAATGACATTCTTGAAAATCGATTCACCTGTCAAAAAGAATGTGAAGCAGGAGTTGTTTGAGACAATTGGGATCCCTTATGATGCTTCTTTCAGCTCTCCAGATGCCGTAAAAGCTAACAATGCATCTTCAGCAAAAAATCTATTACTCTCTTCTATTCCTGCAAGTATGAATGCACAGTCAAAACAACGTCAGTCATCTGCTATGAAAAGTTCGGACCCTGAAACTGCCAGGAGAAGGAGAGAATCACTAGACAGGGTAATTTCTTGGGAAATCTTTGACCACACAAGATATGTACATTATTCTGCTTTGTGACAACCCAATATATGCACTCTTTAATTTATGATGTACCCTCACACCTAGCTCTACTTTTTGTGATCTCTTTGCAGAATTGGGCTGCTTTCGAGCCTCCAAAAACAACTGTCAAAAGGATTCTTCTTCAAGAGCAACAGAAAACGGGTATGAACCAACATATTGTGTCGAGTGAGAGAGTACGGTCTACGATTAACACACAAGAGCAATCACTGCTTCGCCTGAAAGATCATGCATCACCTGTAGTCTCCTCAAATAAGGGTAAGCAAAGATTTACTGCGGAGTGCGTTAATTTGATCTTGAAGAATCTCTTTGTGTTTCATTTTTATTCTTTTAGCGCTTCTGTGGTTTGATTGTGTAATTAATGTGAGCAGGAATAATGGAATCATCTGAAGCTCAATCAACCCTGTTCAGATCAAGACCTCCTATGACACAATCTAACAGTCCCTTTAGCCTCTCTCCAATCTCTGCGTCAAAGCCAAGTTTCAGTTGGTCTGAAAACAAGTCGAACAGTACAGTTTCTTATGCTGAGGAATCTTCCCTGCCACAGATTAAGGATACAAAGATAGTTTCAGAATCAGGAGGATCAAATTTTCTGCTGAAACGAGCAGTGGGCTCGACTGTATTTGAACAGACAGAAAAGAAGGCTGGAGAATTCAAAATTTCTGATGTTAAGGCAAATGCGTTTGTTGATACAGCTGCTGGAAGTGTGCAGCGGCTTACAACCACATTGTCGAGATCCGATCCTGAATCTAGCAAAGGCTTTGGTGCTCAACTTTCGTCGATGTCTAGTGGTACACCAGCATCTAGTTTCCCTGTGAAACCGTTGTTTGGTTTCAAAACCAATAGCAGTATCCCTGGTGATAAAGCGACTTTTCCTGCTGCAACAATATCAGTTTCATCGTCACCTGTGTCTAGCACATCACTTGATTCCGCTTCCACCTTGTCTACACCACTATCACCTCCAGTGTCATCCGCTACACAAGATTCAGGTATGTTAGTTTGACCTCTGTCTATTTCATTTGATTGACATACTAGTCAAGTATATCAACTTTAATATCTGGTCACTGACACACTGCTGTTATGATTTTCAGTCACATCGACATCTACAGTTTCAGCTACAGGGTTCAATGTTCCATTGGGTAAATCGTTGACCAGTGCCAATTTAGATCTCAATCAAGCAGCTACATCAGCACCTTCTCCATCACCTGGCCCCACAACTGGTTTCTCTTTTAAATTACCAGATTTATCTCCATCATCCCCTGAAGTTGTCTCATCCTCAGCAGGCCAATCTTCGTTTTTTGCACCTTCTTCTACAGCATCACAAGTGCCATCTAGTCTGGTCTCCGCAACCAGCTCCTCAGTAACAGATACTAATCGTTTGTTTTCATCCTTGACTCCCCCGAATACTTCGACCGCTCCTGACACGTTTCAGTCTCCTCAAGTATCCACCCCGTCTTCTGCTGTGTCCATTACAGAGCCAGTCTCAGAACCTAAACAACCAGAGGCTCAAAGTTCGCCAATTCTAAGTACGGAAAGTACTGTAGATTCAGTAGCAAAATCACAGACTGAGCTGCCGCAGGTGAAAAATGAGATTTCAAACCCAGAGACTACAGTAACCCCTGTTAGTTCATCTGGGTTCCTGTCTGGATTTTCATCTGGAACACAGTCTAATCCTGTAAACACAGCACCTCCTTCATTCACTTGGCCAGGTAGTTCTCAGCCGCAACAGACATCTTCTACATCGTTCTCTTTCCCTGCATCCGTACCAACTTCTGCAAGTCCATTTGGTGAGAAAAAAGATACTGTAGATACACAGGAAGATGAAATGGACGAAGAAGCTTCAGAGGCTAGCCAGACGACTGAACTTAGTATGGGAAGTTTTGGAGGTTTCGGCCTTGGGTCAACTCCGAACCCTGCTGCTCCCAAAACAAATCCATTTGGTGGTCCCTTTGGTAATACTACAACAACACCAAGTAATCCGTTCAATATGACAGTCCCAAGTGGCGAGCTATTCCGACCTGCATCATTCAGTTTTCAGAATCCTCAACAATCTCAACCAGCTCAACCGGCAGGTTTTGGTGCGTTTTCTCCAACACCTTCTCAAGCCCCCACTCAGAGCGGATTTGGCCAACCTTCACAAATTGGTGGGGGACAGCAAGCTCTAGGGTCGGTTCTCGGTTCTTTCGGGCAGTCAAGACAGTTCGGTACTGGTCTCCCAGGAGCTACATTTGGTTCTCCTAGTGGAATTGGTAGCTCTAACCCAGGAAGTGGCTTCCCAAATGCACCAGCATCAGGTGGTTTTGCAGCTGCTGGTTCTAGTGCCACTGGTGGTTTCGCCGCCATGGCTTCAGCTGGTAGAGGATTCGCTGGTGCTTCTTCTAGTCCAACTGGCGGCTTCGCTGGTTTAGCCTCAGCTGGTGGAGGTTTCGCCGGTGCTGCTCCAGGAGGAGGAGGCGGTGGATTTGGTGGACTTGGTTCAGGCTCCGGAGGTTTTGGAGGCTTTGCTCCTACTAATAGTGGAGGTTTCGCCGCAGCAGCCGGAAGTATAATAACATCTTAACATCAACCAATACATTCAAATACACATAATCATGCTTCATTCATTTTTAACCATTGTTTTGTTAACAGGTGGTGGTTTCGGAGGTTTCGCGGGTCAAGCTCAAGGTCAAGCC